CCTTTATTGGAGCAAGAAGGCTCAGTTAACATCTCGGATTGGCACAACAAATATGCGTGCGTGTGGGGGTGGTAGAGAGAGAGAGAGAGGAATTTTTAAGCTCCTCTATTACCTTTGAAATAGTAATGGGTTTGGGCCGAGGTCGTATATATCTGGACTAGATAATCTATGGCTACAGTCCTATCGACTGCTATGACATTTTAATTGAAATCAAACCTTCTGAACCCTGGTTTTCAAAAAACTAAATTAGAAATCGAAACCAAGAATCGATAACCGACTGGGTGCGATTCGGTTATTGGTTCTTGTGGATACTCGAATGGAATCGATTTTTTATATAATTTTTTTTATTTATAATTTGGGCAGTAATTAATCTAAAACTTTAGACTCTAATCTTAAGAAATCAAGACTGACTCCTACATCTTTGCATCTTATGTATATCATAATGTTGCATTTCAGAGAGGGAAGATTATATAAATAAGAGGTTTAGTTTTACCAATTTCAAATTTAAGATATTATGTTTAAATTTCAAATTTCAGAGTTTTTTAAATTTTATTTATAAATTAATTAATGAAACATATATTTTATTAATTAAATATATTAAGGTCACAATTTCATATAATTTGGTCACAAACTCCATATAATTGATCACAAATTATAATTTTTATATGTCACAAATTATTTTACGGTTACAATTCAAAAAATTTATAGGTCACAATTTGTTTATGGCTCACAAATCAAAAATTTATACGTCACAATTTATTCATCGGTCACAAATCTATCAAATTAATGAGTTACATATTATTCATTGGTCACAAATCACTAATTTTATATATACAAATTATTTTACGGTCACAATTTTAAAAATTTATAGGTCACAATTTTTTAAACGATCACAAATAAAAAATTTATACCTTACAATTGATTTAACGATCATAAATCGCAATTATTATAGGTCACAACTTATCAGTCACAAATTTTCGATCACAAGTTAACAATATTTTAGATCACACATTATTTCTTGGTCAAAATTTATAAATCACAATCTATATATTGGTCACCCATTATTTTTTGGTTTCTTGGTCACAATTTATCTTTTTATTGGTCACGGATTAACCAATTTAATGGTCACAATTGACCAAATAATTTGTGACCACCACCGCATTACTCCCACCAACAGCATGGCAATCGAAACCCTATTGTCGGAACCACCACCACCACCGCGATCGCCANGACAGCATTTATACACAGTTAATTATATATGTCCGCCCATCATGGCAAATTAAATAATTTCTCAACATATACAAGTTGACAGTTTGAACACATGTCCATAATGTAAACTAATAATACCACAACAACGAATCTCAACATACTCTCAAGCCTCTAATCATGTCAAGCGAGAGTTGACAAATGTGCTAAGTGTTCCTTCAATATCGAAGCAGCCTAGTAGGGGCACGAAGACTCCTTTTTTTTTTTTTTGGTAGTAATGTTGGGTTGGGTGGTTCAGGTGAGGTATGTAACAAGGGAATATTTCATTACTAAAATATTTAGTTTTACCAATTTCAAATTTAAAAACTTAAGTTTAAAATTTAAAATTTTAGATATTTTTAAATTAATTAATTAAATATATTAAGGTCATAATGCCATATAATTTGGTCACAAATTATA